ACCAATTTCATTTAATGATGCTTCTTCTTCCTTAAAAGAATAAAAAGAAAGAACATAAGAGTTTAGTGATTACTTTCTATTATTTTATTTTTACTTACTTCACGTTTAATTGGATCACCTTCACAATAGATGACAGTATCAGGTGCAACAATACAATATGGAGCTGGATCCGTTTCAATAACTTTAAATTCAACAGCACGCATTGCTGCATGTACAACAAATACATCATTTTTACGCACAGGACGATAAGCTTCAACAAAATATGGTTTTAAATAAACTTCAAATAAATTTCTTCGCCATTATTCGACTTCTGCTGTGTTATCGCAATATATGGTATGCCATATATACATGCGAAGATGCAGATAGTATATTCAAAAATACCAGATTTTAATAACAAGAGCACAACAACAACAAGAGAGTCCGATTATAGATGGTTTCAGTTTATCCCCTTAACAGTATTATAATGAAGTATTTTCCTTTATTTTCTTTGTTCATTTTTGACAATAAATAAAAAGTATCTCAAGGCAAAGGATAAATATAGTGTGATAATCGATCTGCACTAGGAGTGCATCGGTTATTTTTTCGTATTTTTCAAAAATTCACAATAAATGTTTTGTATTTTCATAAAAACGATTTTCAACATTTTTCTAAAACGGCAGTTTTGTAGAGAAAACATTTTTCTACAAGATGATATATAATAGTTAATTTTAAAGGTTTTGGGTTTCTTTAAAAAGCGTTTTTGATACGGAGGCATATCGGTTAATAACCGCGGTTATAACCGACGGTTATTAACCGACCGTAGGTTTGAGGAAAACGCTTTCTAAAAGGAAACAGAAAACTTTAAAATTAACTATTATATATCATCTTGTAGAAAAATGTTTTCTCTACAAAACTGCCGTTTTAGAAAAATGTTGAAAATCGTTTTTATGAAAATACAAAACATTTATTGTGAATTTTTGAAAAATACAAAAAAATAACCGATGCACTCCTAATGTTTACTACTAGAACTCTGCAGTGTTCTAACTGTATTTAAGGGATCCAAGCGGTGTCTAAAGTGTTTCTAGGATACGTTTCACTCGGTCGGCTTTTCCATCTGCCCGTAGGATAGTTGGCATTTTTCTAGTCAGACACTTGTTCTCAATTATCCCTGATCGTACAAGTTTGGGAAAAAGGTGATTCCGAAGTGCAGGAAGAGTGAATGACACATCTGAAGTTAGTTTTCGAATATTTGCTTTAGTTATCGTATATTTAGTGACACAAAATGAGTATATTTTTTAGAAAACTCGTTTAATTTTTTTTAGAACTACCGTTTCTCCTATGAGATAATTAATTGTCACGTGATTCACGTCATGGTGAATATATGCTACAGTACTTGATATGATGAAAACTATGCTACAGTAGAACATATGACACGATAATGAATTAGTTGATATAGTAGGAATATAGGAATTCTTCATCAAGCCAAACTGTTATGAGTTTGTAGATCTTCTAATTTCGCCTGTTTACCGTTTCACTCAGTCGACTTTCCAATCTTCCCGCAAGGTGAGTTGGTCTCTAGTCTTTCTTCTAGACCCACTTTCTGCTTCGAGTCAGCCACTCGTTCTCAGCTATATATCTAATCGTACAGATTTGGGAAGAACATTATTCGTGAGTGCAAGAGCTGTACATGCAAAACGTGTAACTCCCCTACCGCAATCTCTGTGCGTTACCGTTTTTTCTCTTTTCGTCTATCCTATAATATTCGGAAAGAATATCGTAGAATCCTGAAAAGCGTCTTGTTTTGTAGAATGAAGTCCGTTCTTCAAAATCTACTACTAGCTCAATTCGAAATAATTGATGACTTTTCGGTTACAATCGAAATACTAAAAGCCCTAAAAACAAACAACAATGTTTTTGGGGCTCTTCGTATTTTAAGTATAGCATAAAAAGCGTCAATTATTTTGAATGGAGCTAGTGGTGGATTTTGAAGAACGCACTTCATTCTACAAAACAAGACGCTTTTCAGGATTCTACAATATTCTTTCCAAATATAATAGGATAGACGAAAAGAGAAAAAACGGTAACGCACAGAGATTCCGGTAGCAGAGTTACGCGTTTTGCATGTGTAGACGACACATCTAAAGGTATTTTTTCGATATATATTTTAGTTATTAAGGCCTTGTCCAGACTACAAAAGTGAAGTGAGAAACTCGTAACCGTATTGGATGAAAAAGTTAATTCCAACTTAAGTCGTGTGCTTGACATGACTTAAGTTAATACTTAAGTGAGAAAAGAGTGTAGTCTGGACAAGGCCTCAGTAATGAGTTCCAAAAGCTGAACATATTTTCAATAACTTTTTTTTTCTATGAGATAATTAATTGTCACGTGATACTTTATATACATTCAGTATGAACAGTGTAGAGTGACTCATTAGTAATCACATGCTACTTATCAGTCTATACTTCTGTATAGCTTGAATAGTCTGAAATATCACTACCGATAGAATGCTTCAATATGTTTACTATTAGAGCACTATCGTGTTCTAATGTATTAAAGGGATTCAAACTGCGTCTAAAATGTTTTTAAGAAACGTTTTACTCGGTCTATTATATTTATTATATTATATTATTATATATTATGATTGATATCTAATATCAATCATAAACTGTTATTCGGTTATAATATAGACATATTAAGAAGATATTATGATTAATCCATATCTATTGATATTTGTTCACCTGAGTTTTTAATCGTGCATCAAATATCTTGTAGTTTTTGATGCCATCTAAATATCATCGTCAGAAACTGCTTAAGTTAACCGCCAAAGATTACAAGTAACATCAGTTTTGGGTAATGAGGTTGATTCACATAAAGCCATTAAACGATCTTATAGACATTAATCATCATCATTATGTCACAACAATATTAATGACTGACTAAGATAGTTACTGCAAAACATGCTAGTAAAAATAAAGACATAAAAAAAAACACAGTCATTGTTAATTCACATAAAAATTGGTCTCCTATTTACAATTTAATACAGCTCCTTACATAGAACTATTTTTCTTTAGCTTTGCTCTTGTGCTTATTTCTTTAGCTTAATTCTTGTTCAATAAGTACATTTATTCGTGTACAACACTCGTGTAGGTCTCATACTCAGTTTCTGATATTCAAGAGTGGTTAACAGAAGTTGTAGAAACAAGCTTCATTTCACTACAAAACCACATATTTTAGCGAGACAGGGACTGATCTACTAAGATATTGTTATTGTTCCACTGACAGTATAATAATGATTTTTTTGCTAACCAATACAAGATGAATGTTTATTTCTTCAAAAAAAATGAATTATAACAACAAACAAGAACATCAAGTAATATTAATAATAATAAAAAGAGCAGCTATACAACAACAATAGAAGGAAGAAAAAAAACGAAAATCGATTTAAAAGAAAGTTTTCTCTATTGTTTTTCTATTCAGAATAGTGTAACACAATCTAATGAACACACACAGACGTATGTATATAGATCAGAAAAATGAAATGAGAATAGATGACGAGAGAAAAAAATGTGTATAATTTATCTTAATTGTTTTAAAAATAGAAAACTTCGAGTTAAAGTTACAAAATTATATTATACAAAGAACAAATGAGACACACACATATATATTAGAGAGAAGATAATTTACAATCAGACTGAGTCGTCACCGTTAACACCATCCGATTCATCGTCTTCATCGGATGATGATCGTCGTTTTTTCTTTTTTGACTTCTTTTTTGATTTTGTTTTCTTTTTAGAAGATATTGATTGAAGAACGGATTGATATTGTGAGATTACTGATGTCGGTTTTGTTGTAGGTTTTATTTCATCACTCATATTACTACTTTCATCATCATCGGCTACGGTATTTCCAGGTGTTTCACTGTCAAATGCTAATAAATAACTTTTAAAATCTTGAAAATCTTTGACCAATTGTTTTTTATCATCAAACGAAAATGTAACACGAACTGTTTGTAATTGTTCATTTATATAATTTATAATATATTTTGGATGAAATTTTAAATGAATTTTTCTTGTTGTTAATGGACGATCGGTTACTTTTTGTGCTTCTGTTTGATCATATTCGCTTATTTTTGTATCATTCAAACCGTAGACATCTTTTAAATATTGTTTTAATAAAAGTAATAGTAAACAAGATTTTGATGAACGAATACATGTATATAATTCTGATATAACAGCATTTGAATACGATAAAATTTTTTCCAATAACAAGACATCTTCATCGTCATCTTCTTCAGTTTCACCACTTGTATTTTGTCGTTTAAGTATATCACGAAATTGTTGTAATATACCCGCACCATTCACACTAACACTCAAATCAATTATTTGAACAATAAATAAAGGCTCATCTTGAACTTGATATGGAAAATAGGCTAAAATAAAATTAGGCATACATTTTAGAACTTTTGAATAGATCAAGAAATAACAGAATGAAAGACGGATATCTAAAGAATATGAATCTCCTAGTAGATACCTTTACATTGAGTTTCTCTTATTACAAGCGTTTAGTTGAGATACACTATTGAATATACCTTGGATGGAAAGACGATTAAAATCACTTACCTAAATTGTCAGCAACGAATAATTGTTCTTCTAACGATGATGTTGTTGTATCATCGAACATTTTTAGCAATTGTGTCAATAATCCTCTTCGGTATGTTCGATTCGTACGTATCAATGAATATAGAAAATGATTGCATGACCAAAACTGTTGTTGTTGTCCTTGTTGTTGATATTGATTCGGTATAACAGTCATACCACGAATAATATTTGTTGTTGATACAGAACTAATTAGCATTGTTTGTAATTGATATGACATTTTTAAACCTTGCATCACTTTTGTTTGAATAATACCCGGATGTGTTTTATCTAATTCTTGTAAATTTTGTTCAGCATTTTGTTGTATTGTCAAATCATTATCGGTTGTCATTGCAATTAAATTTGGTATAAATTGAACGGGATGTACAAGACCTTGTTCTAATATACAATTAACAACCTTACGAACACATTGTCGAATTTCTGTTATAGGTGTTAAATATGTATCTAATATTGTTCGTAAATAACATTGAGCAATTGAACTAGCCATTTCCGAATGAATATCAGATGTATCTTTTAAATCTGTATAATCTTCATTAGCACCACTACCACTTTTTTTTCTCTGTTTTTTCTGATCATCATTTTCTTCATGATCATTATCTAAATCATCATCATCTTTGTCTGTTGTGCCATTTTGTTGACGTTTTTTTGTATGTTCAATATCTTCTTCTGATATACGCCGTATACAATCACGAAAATAATCTTCTAAATTTGTTAATATTTGACAGCGGATAACTTTTAATTGATTTTCATCAATTAAATGCGTTGTATATAAATGACGAACGGTATCTTGAAGTAAATATTGTCCATAACGTTGTAAATAGTAGCCTAGACCAATCAATGATTTATGTTTGATTTGATTACAATCATGATTGATATAATAAATAAACAATTGAAATAAATCATCAATCGTAAACAACTAGAAAAGCAGAAAATTGGATTGTGAAAAAGTATGAACTGTGATTTATTATTCAAGAACAAGAATTTGTGTGAGTCTCATTCTTCAAGATAGTCTTCTTCTCACTCTCTCTCTCTCTCTAATCAATCTGTTATTTAAGAGAGTTCAAAAAAATGAACGAATGTTGGAAATCATTTGTTGAACACTAGCACAAGAGTCGTATGTTCAGTGAGTTGTTTCCAGAATTGTTTTAGCATTTCTTTTTATACTCATAGTAAAATGTATTGCAAACAAATTACCATTGATCAGAAATGCACATAAAGAAGTACAAGACTCATCATACAACTATACTTACATCAAAATCTTCAAAGTCTGACGATTCAATATCAAAATATTTACATAAAACACCTAAGATATACAATGAACGAGATAAATGAGCACTTTCTTGAGTTGTTAATTCAATATCCGGATTATTATTCAAATATGTTTGACGATCCACTGCATAACCTAAATAAAGAAAGAAAATTCAATATCTAAATATGACTAATAGTATTTTTTTTAAAACTTACTGTAATATTTTTTGAAACAATCTTTAACAAGTTTGAAATTTTTTGATAATCGATTAATTACAGCACATAGGCAAGCAATACTACTGAATATAACCTTTAATAAAAAGATAAATAGAAATTTATAATAGAATGAGAACTTGATAAAAAAAAACTTTTCTGTAAAGCATAATCTAAGAAGAATCAGAAGTTCTCAAATTTCATCTACTCTTCTAATTATTCACATGTTTTTTATTCGCCTCTTGAAAGAATAACAAAAAGTATCCCGTTTCTTCGCATTGTCACACTAAGTTATAATAATTCTGTAGAACTTGTGTACAACGGATCTCTATTTCTTAGTTCAAATTATACCTACCATTTGTCCACTGACTAGACATAATTTTGTTAAACTTTCTTCTAATTTGAATATTAATGTTTCTGGTGCCGATTTAATCAACGGTACAGTAAATTCTAATATTTTTGCTACATATTGCACAATTGTATTATCATTGTGTGTTGTACATTTTATATTTAAATATTCAACAATTGTCGATACATGCTGTATTAAGTAATCAGGTTTTGCTTTACCCAATGCATACAATGCAATAAATGTTGATACCATTTTATCAGATGCACCTTGATCAGTATCATTCATCACCGTTAATGATTCCATTTTTAATACATATTCAATTAATTCATCAATTATTTCACGAATCGATTTTAATACATCTTTACGTTGTTCATTAATACGTTTTCGATCTAATTCATTGCCCATCGTTGTTACATTTGTATGTAAAAATTCTTTGAGCAAATTTTCTAACCACTGATAATTTTGCTTTTTAAAATCGAGTATAACATCAATGATAATTTGAACACGTGTACGTATATCACTTTTTAAACGAGATGGTGTAAACCATAATAATTGAAATGTTTCTAAAACTAATTTACGTATCGATTCTTCATCTTGAATACGACGTAATAAACGAGAACAAATGTCAGGTATTTTAACAAAACTTGGTTGATGTAAACAAATATCACGAAATATTTTCACCACACGTTTACGTACACTAACACCTAAAATGAAATAGAAATAAAAACAGTCGTATTGTGTATATAATTTGAATATTCGAATTCTTTGGATCTTCTAGTCAAGGTATTGTTGAGAGAAAAGAAGACGTTTAGTACTGCATAAATTTCTCATGTAGATGACAAAGGAACTAACCTGTATCCAAACTTCTTTCGCATAAAATATCATAATACTGTAATACAAGTTGTTCTCTACCAACAATATATCTTCCAATTAAATCTATAGCAGCTTCTCTAACACTAATCGATTTATCTGTCAACCCTACTTGTACACAAGATTTAATATCATTTCTTGATAATATTGTTGGATCAGCTTCAACAACGGTACATAAACATTTCATAGCTTTACTACGAATATTTGTACCAGCTTCTGATTGAAATATATTTGCTATTTGTTTTAAATAAACATCGAATGTTCGTAAAAATGGTCGATTTAATGTTAAATAACGAATGAGTAAACATGCATCATCATAATCAATATCAAGGTGTGTATGCTGTTTTTGAAATGATATTAGACCAGTGGTAGATGGTAATGTTAACAGTTTTAGAATTGCTTGTTTTTCTATTTGTTTTAATTCAATTTCATCTTCGATCGATAACGTTTTTGTTTTAACATGTTCATTTTCAATATCGTCATCATCATTATTGAGATCGTCTTTATTATCATTTGTTGTAGATTTTTTTAATTTACTTTTTGTCAACGATTGAGTTAATTTTTCTGTGGTAAGTGTTAAATCACGCAACCATTGTCCAATATAAAACATTTTTGCAAACTAGAATAAAGCAAAATCAATATAAATCATAATTTCTCATCTTTAGCTGGAATATTTTTGTGCACCAAGAAGGAAATCCTGTTATCCGAACGTTACAACAGATTAACAATGAAATTTCGTGTAATTACTTGGAAACATAAGACTTACATTACTTGTACTATCACTCTGACTTAGATCATTTAAATAAATGATAAGTCCTTTATTAAATCGTAATGGATCATTTGTATCTTTCGTAGCTAATTCATCATCTGTTTCAATACTTGCCAATGTCTAAAACATAAACATAAACGAACAATCAATTACTTTTATTTTAGTCTGATGTAGTGACTAAGAGATGAGAAAAATTAAAAGAACTTGTGGTATGACAAAAATAAAAAAGTAGAAATAAGAATCAAAAGAATTAAGTTAAATAGACAAGTATTGTGATCATGTCTGAAGGCTCGAATGATATGATAGTTCTGAATTTCACTCCTTCGCCGTCTTTGAAAGACATGAAAAATTGTTGTTTTACTTTCAAAATTGGGAATTTTCCAACCATCACAATTTCTAGTTCTGCAGGACATCCTAATTTTTAGTGGGGTGACCAGGTCCGAGTTTGATAAGGCGATGAAGTAATATTAACGCTTTTATTCCCTGTGTTATTAGACAACTTACCCTTTTAACAATTTCATCTAATCTGGCTAATGTATCTTTTGAATTTAAATAATTTGGATCCATTGTATCTTTTCTTAATTGTGCTGCTACACTACCAAGATAATCTAACGATTGTAAACGAATATTAATTGCTATTGTTTTATTTGAAAAATTTGTCATTAATATTCGACTTAATAACGATAAAAGAATTTCACATGATGGCCATTCAGGTTTGTTGGCTGTTATTAATAAGTCATGTAAAAAATTTTCAAATATTGTTCGATAATCATCTTCTCCTTGTTTCATACCACATGTACGAAAAAATGCTGTCAGAAATTTAAATGCTAAATTTTGTGCTAATGTATACGTGTTTAATAAACGCATTTCTTCGGTCACTTCATCGGCTTGCTGTTGTACTGGTTTTAAAGGAAATGGAGTCGATATTTTTACTGGAACTGTCGACGTTGATGAGGTTATTTGTTGAAAACTTTTCACATTTGATACTGGTGAATGAATTAAATGCATAATTAATGCTGTGAACATTTGAATAGATTCACCCGAATTTAAATGATAACTACGGATACTTTTTTTACTTGTTGGTAAACGTACTAAAGACAATAGAAGATCATCTAATATTGAATCACGATGTTTATCATAACGAGCAAAAATTTGTGTTAGAATACTGATTGAATGTTGTTGCAAATCCATTACATTTTCAACGAATATACAACTGACACTGAATGATGATATCTAAATAGCAAGAAAAACAAATAGAACAAAAACTACATATAATACAAAAAAAATATAAAATACATACAGTTAAAATAATTGTATCAGGATATCGACTTAATTGCACTAAATCAATTAATCCTTGAAGTAGTGATACTATTTTATTGTAAAGAATTTGTACCATTTTACATCTTGATCCAAATACTTTTGAACGTTTTTGTTTTGCTAATAATGGATCTAAACTCAAAAATAAGCGTCTTATATTCTCTGTATGTAAGTGTTGAATAACCGAATGATATCAATCAAAAAGTAGAAAAGATAGGCTATTTTTAAGCTAGTAAACCAATGTCTAACTAGAGAATCAGCTCTTCATTTTACACTTCGTATATTAAATCTATAAAGAATTTAGGCTACATCATACCTTTGGATTGTAAATCACTTCTATAAACAGGATCATATTCTGGAAAAATTGTTTTTGTTAATTGTGCTTTAATAAATAATGCTAAATTTTCAATTACATGTTCAATAAATACTTCTTTTGGCATATTTAATGTAGTCATTATATTCAACGCTACTTTACTAGCATTAGCACTAACTAACAAACGTTCAATAATAATATCTCGCCATAATCGTTCTTCTTCATCATCATCATAATTATCATCCTGTCCTTTTTTCTCGTCTTGCTGTTGTTGTTGTTGTTTATTATGATTTAATACTGGATGTAATTTAATGCCCTGTTTTATTCTTAATGATAATATTTTTAATAGACGTTTTAATTTTGTTTTTTCAATACGATTCATATATGTTGATAATTTTAATTTTTCAGATAATGTTGATAATTCATCTAATATCAATTCAGGTAATAGAACGTCTAACATTGAGTTTTCATCTTCAGTATCCGATTGTGATGCTTGTGAAAGTTTGATTGATTCATCTAAACGTTCTTCGTAACGATCGTAATCGTCAATAAAATTATCTAATAATTCGACAAAACGTTGAAAAGCGGTATTTTCCAACGGATCATCTTCAATATCCATCGCTTTACGACCCAATTTCTCTAAACGTTCAACTTTTTCCCGTTCCCGTTCTTCTTTTATTCGTTGTTTTTCAACATCTTTGGCTAGTTGTAATGGTTGTTGATGTTTTGTTGGAGTGACATTTGCTGTTACTAATGAATTATCTTGCTCTTTTCGACGAATACGTTTTTTAGGTTGTTGATAATTGTCATCGTCACCGGTCGGTGATCGACTACGTTCATCCGCATCATCTTCTTCTTCTTCACCTAAAACATATAAAAAGCACTTTATAAAATATTCTCGTTAAACTCCAACTCCACTCCAGCTTATTAAATGCAAATTAGTTCAAAAGCATCACAAATACTTGAAATATGCCGAACTCATTCGAATACGTGTAGAAGAAATTTATGAAACAAAAAGGCGTTAAAAATAATGAGTAATCGCCAAAATTTTTGTTTATTCTTCTGCATTATGTTGTAAAATGATCGATCTCATAGACCACTGAAGACCATTATGTTTTCTAGCAAATTTTTTCATCATCTTTTCTTCCACTGAAACAATCTAATTTTTTTTTATGATACTAACTTACCATCGTCATCGATATATCGCCGTTTGTTCGATGCTGTTCGAGATGAAGACGGCAAGATAGTTGTGCGACGCTGTCGAGTTAACGATGAACCAGCAAGACCGTTTAATGAACATCCATCTTGTAATAGTTCTTTAATTAAATCAGGAGTAAAATCAGAGGGTAAATCCAGTTGTGGATTGGATGTTCGTTTTGTTGTTGCTATTGTTGTCGTTGTGCGTCGAAGAGCTAAAGAATAATAGACAAAATAAGAAGTGAAGATATAAATTTTCTAGATAACAAAATTACGTTTGCTTTCACCCAATGCTTCATTTATTTCTAGTTTTTGTAGAATAATTCGTGGCTGTTGTATACTCATTTCTGAAATAGAAGATCTCTCTATAAATCGGAGAATATTTTTGCGGTCCGATTGTCCACAGACTATTATGTACGTTGACGTTTCTTCTTCTCAGAAAGCTATTTCTTAAAATTCAAAGAGTTTTCTCGACTTTCATTTATTTATTCGCTATTTCAATCTTCTCTCACATCTGGAGCAGCATGCATCGAATTTTTTTCTTCAGAAATGTTTTTTATTTTCAAAATTTATTGTTCTGGGTCATTTTATTTCATTGCTGTAATTTTTTCTCATCGATCTAATGTTCTTGTGAATGTGTCTTTCCTTTGTAGACAATAAACTTGTGGGTTAAATGTCTTATCCATACTGAATAATACACAAGTCCTTGAATAGTCTCGCTAACCACTAGAAAGCAGTGATGCAGAAAGAAAAAAACATTATGTGTGGTAAGAGAAGTATCTGTTCGGTTGAATCTCTTCTGGAAGAGGAATACGTTTGCTCACGTCAGTCCAACCTACAGGACTAATAGTTAATTTAATATTAATAAAAGGTTATGACATCGACACTATCTACTTGTTTTCTAAAAAGCTCCCACAGAAACAAAATTAAGAATACGTTTGAGAATAAAAAATCTTTAACTTCCTTCGTTTGAATAAGACAGAAACTTGAAAAATTCCTAGGTCTGTTCAATTTTTAAAATTTAAAGCCAAAATACTAGCTGATCAGGTTTATATGAACGAAAATAATAGAGAATAACATATATTAAGCCTACATCACCTTCATGGAGAAAATCGAGATTAGATAGATAAGGGGGGAGAGGGCTCCTCGCATCCAGATTTTGCGTTCAATTTGTAGAGCACACTTTGAAACCTAGGAATCAAAATTTTTTTCATTTCTCGGGAGTTCAAGTTTTTTCAGCAAAAAATTTTAAAGTTACTTGCTAGTTTTTTGTCCATTTTTTTAAATTTCTATAGAATTTTTTGTCTTTTGAACGCTAATTCTTGCGTCAATCGTTCGGGCATAGTGAGATGTACCCAAAACAAATTTTTATTGTTTTCTGACACAGTTTCACTTGACCGATTCACTTTTGGAGAAAAAAATATTTTTGAAAAACCTTAAGCACGGATTTCGCACACTGGATGAGCCGGGAATTTTTTGAAAACACGATTTTCAAATGGAATTTTACGAAAAATTCCACTAGTAAAAAGTGTTTTTAATCGAGTTTTCAAAATTTCAACAATTCCACCGCTCATCCGGTGTCTAATTTGATTCTGAACAACATTCATAACGAACTTTTGTTCCAAAATGCTTCCCTGAAGCGAAATCGTGCTCAAGGTTTTTCAGAAATATTTTTTTCTCCGAAAGTGAATCGGCCAAGTGAAACTGCGTCAGAAAACGATGAAAATTTTTTCTGGGTACGTCTCCCTATGCCCTTTAACATTACTTTGGACAAAAAATAAAGTTGAACGATTATCGATCTTATGTGGATCCCTTCTTTCTAAAATTGACTGTTCTCTCTCTTTCCAGTGCGAATTTTTAAAAATTTTAATTCTTATAGAAAAGTCATAAATTTACAAAATAAGTTATGTTTTACAAGACACTTGGCTCTAACTAAGAGCAGAATAAGCTCGAATACTATTTTTATCAAAATGTCAATTTTCAGGTAGTTTGGGTACGCTAAAATAATGAATGAAATGAATATCCCTCTTACCTATATCTGTTTGAGGTGATTTCGCATTGTTTTCAACCATACACTAAAACGATGAAATAACGTTCAACTTTTCAAAGAGAACTTATACGTGTACGAAGTCACGTGTTCTTTTCTTTTTTTTTTCTTTCTTTTGTCCCTATATAGTGCACTTGTTCTAGCCTGTATAGTTTAACCTGACTGAAAAAAAACGATGATTCATATATCTCACAATCAAACCGCTATAATAGCTCAAAAAAAAAGAACTAAGACTCATTCATATTTTTATCAGTTTATCAGCGAAACAAAATAGAGACAAAGACCACTGTTATTAATCGTTCATTTATGAAAAAACCGATCGACTGATCAATTAACTGTTGAACAAACATGCATAATCAATAAAATTCAATAATACTTTATTCTTAGTTTTACTCTCTAGCAAGACCGATAATATAATCACAAGTCTACATGAGAAAGTCATAAATCAACCAACATGTAATGAGCCAGCTCGATTTGTTGGAAAATAAAAGTTTAAATTAAAGTCATAAATTAATTAACTGCGAGTTGAAAGGATGGATGAATAGCTCTAGTTAGTAGACTATCTGAATACCTGGATTCGTATCGAAAAAAGGAGTTAATTAATTATTTCTGAAGTAATTAGATTAATCTTTGGACTGATCAGAGGATTAGTGGACAAAATTTTATGGATTAAGATTTAAATGAACTCTTCAGAAATCCGCTGAAGATCCAACTGTTATCTACAAGTCTGATTTATGGTTAGTATAATTTACTATGTTAATATAAAAATCGCTGTATTAACTGAAAATGTTTTTCATGTAAGAACGAAAATAAGAAACAGTACCTGCAGTTGATGCTGATCATGTGGAAATAGCTGTGGAGGTGGTGATATGGATTTTTCGATACAGATCAACTCTTGTTTGATGGGAGAAATTGAGACTGAAGTCAGTGATGAAGATGACGGTGTATGAAAGCTTTGTTCTTTCGACATTTGCTGTTGTTCTTTTTGAATTGGCGGAACAACAGCTGTGGGTCGCATGGTGGACCGAACATTGTTTGATACGGAGGAAACGGATGTTGCTTGTGGTCCTACAGTTTGTGAATAGGATGGTGAAAAATTGTGGTTTATTGTCAATGAATTGTCTGGCAATGGCACGAATGAATGAGGATATGCTAAACAAAATAATCGTAATTTAGTCACGTCTTAATGCCGTCTTTAGACGGGTTTCTAGGTAGACAACAACTAAGTTAATTTGTATAGTTCTCCTGCTTTAACTGCTAAGTTAGTGCTCAAACCAACGGACATAATCTGCTTATAGAAACAGACCAATCAATCTACTAGAATTCTAAAAAGTCTTAAGTCATTTAGTAGAATGATATTCAGAATGCTGACAATAAAAAAGGAACTTTTGCATAACAGAAACTAAAAATTTTTTTTAAATTCTCTGCAATTTTATTTCCCGTTCGAAATTCGTGCCAACTGCAAAACTCTAACAAACTGATTTAAACAAATAATAAAAAATAGAGCAAAAATAGTGCTGATACGAAAAAATACCATTTATTTTGCTTAGAAGCATGAAATAATCCTAAAACATGTATGAACTGCTACTGTATTGGAACTTAAATATTCAAATCAAATTTTGAAACAACAAAGACATACACATATTAGGTGCATAAGAACAAGTGTTTGGACTTATTTGTTGCTGTGCAGAAGGAAAACCGGTTGGATTATAAGAAAATAGTTGATTTGTTGTTCTAAAAAGAAAAATATGATAGACTAGTTATTTTTATTTGGCATCTTTCTATTTTTCGTTCTTACTGAAATTGTGATGGAAACTGTAGTGGTGCTGGTGCTACCGATGTCTGGAGTGGTATACTGCCTATAAAAAAAACAAGATATCGAAAATTAAAACTACTAATGAGTTTAGTCGTACCATTAAATGCATTTGGATTAGTTTGTAAACATGTTTGAAGAAGAGGCGGTAATGTTGTAACAGTATCTGACGAATGACGAAATGTTCTCAAAATAAAGAAAAAAAATCAATAAATCTTTTCTACATATTTCTCAATGGTATTAAATTTACAATGATTGTGTATTAACTTGACTAAGTGTTTGGCAAAGCTCTTGAGCTAAATTAATATCACGACAATTTAACATCATCGATGTATGATCCACAAACATTGGATCAAGCAAACTTTCAGCTCCAGGATTTTGTAGTGATAGTATGGGTAGTTCCCGAACGACTGAAAAAGAAAAAACAGCTTGTCAAAATATAGAGACATAAGAATGATTCTTACCATCGCTTAACGGTGCTGCTGTAATGAGATTGATGGATGGTAGTGGATTTTGATCAAACCAATCCATTACTGATCAAGCACGATAGAATTATTCAACAATAACTGTGTTAATCACTCTGACATCTAGAAGCTGAACAGAAAAGCAGGAAAATTAGTTTTGAATGAAAAAAACGTATAGCACCAGCACTTACCAGATCAACGTATTTGATCGTTGGTCGTTCCATAATATTGTGTATCAGCAACGTTATGTATCTGAAATGAAAATAACCAAGGTGATGATTGTCCGTTGATACATGCCCCATCTGTTAGGCGTTTAAGAGAGAAGCACAACGAGATTGACTAAATACTTTCAACCTGAGAATCTAGGCGTGTATTATTAAATAACAGAACGAATCCGCTAAAAATTCACTACAACTGAAACGACTTTCAAATATTTAATTAAATTTCTGCTAAGACATTTTATGTTGTTAGTTAAGCGTGTAATAAATCGAATATTGACATTGTCATCGAATGCTCTCTCGGTCCTTGTCCATTTTAAAATGAGAATAGCCGTTTTTTGACTAGAACGCAACAAGGCTTTAAAGATTCTGCATAAATGTGAAAACACAAGACTACTGAAAGCAATTTTTATGCGTAATTGAGAAACATTTTTGTTGTTTTCTTTTAGTTTCAAACAGTAGCTCCACGAAGCCAGCATCCGGGCGAACTTATAAAGATAGTCTCTCCTTGAAGCTATTATTTGGAGCCTAAAGCAAACAACGAAAGTTTTTTTTCTTAAGTTGCGTTTTTGCTTTATCGTCTATAAGCTGGAACTCATGAACGAATCAACAACAAAGAAAATGATAGCGACACGTCCCGCTAGATGATGCTAGACGATGATGCACAACAGCGTAACGTTGACAATCCTACTGTTATCAGTCGATTGACATCGTTTTTAGAAAAAGTCATCTTAATTAACGAAAGCCATGGAGACTTTATCTTTCTGCCCCTCTCTAATATAGTTGAGTATTTACCTTATAAATTAGTTCATTTTTTCGACTAATCTTACTAGGAGAGATCGAGAAAAGCACTCTAGTGGAACTTGTTATGACTAAGATCGTAACTTCTTGAATTCTTACAGTACGATCTTGATTCAAGTTCTTAATAAGACAATCTAAGAATTCAAAAAATTTCAAAAAAATTAAGATCTTGAACATCTTGAAATTTCTTGACTTCTTGTTCCCAAGATCTTGGAAATTCTTGAATCATCGTTTACACTCTTGTGTAAAATATAAGTGCGAATATTTTCACACTTAGTACAACGTCGAATTTATTTCCTTCTTGAACATAGTTATTTAAGGAAGAACCTATAATTCTATATGGCCGTACATCTGATGTCTATGACTCTCATAAATACCCAGGTCCAAGGGGTAGATAACAAGATCTTGGAAGATCTTACAAGATCATATACGATCTTGGGTGATCGTATAATAAGAAATCATAAGATTTCAAAAGATCTTATCAATTCATATCAATTTCCTGTAAGATCTTACAAGATTTCATATGAC